AAAAAAAAAAAAGAGAAAGAAAACAAAAAAGCTGAATTAAACTTAAATATGCAAAAAAAAGAAAAGAAATCGATTGTAGGTCTTTTTCTTCTCATTTAATTTAAAATATTAAACTAATTTTTCAAAAAAAAAAATGATAGCGAAAAATTCTAATGTAATTATTGATTAATGATTAAATTAGAAATTGTTATTTAACAGTATTTGAAATGATTGTTATCAATTCATTTTTGTCTTCATTAATTCTTTAACTCAATCGAATGGTTATCAATTGAATTCATTTTTGTTATCAATTTTATCAATCGAATTCATTTTTGTTATCAATCTTATTTTCATCTTCTTTTTCTTTTTCTAAACTTAAATTCTTTATTTCTATTTCGTTTATTGCAGTTGTAATATGGTAATTTTTTTCATCTATCTTTCTTGTTAATTAACATTATCATATTGATAATTATTGATTTAAATAATTACATTCGCATTTGCGTAATATTTATTTCAAATTTATTTTAAAGTGTCTTTTTTTCAGTTTTTCTAATTTTTGCTTAGTGAGTTATTTATTTTTCGTTTATTAACAATAACAAACAAAAATAAAGCAATAGGGAATAAAAAAAGAGAAAGAGTAAAAGTTGATTTCGTTTTGTACTAAAATACATAAATTAAAATTGAAACAAAGAAAAAAAGTAAGCTCCAAAAATTTTCCAAATTTATTTTTTGTTATTGTAAAATTTAATTTCTTATTTCTTTCTTTTCTTGCAAATAATAAATATATTTTTAAATAAATTTTAAAAAATAATAAACATATTTAGCAAATAATAAATACTTTCCCAATATAATATGTTTAATCAAAATTAGAAATGGTATTCTCACGGTTATTTTTTACTCTTAAAACAATGAATGTAAAAGTTGAGAAACATAAGATGATGATGATAATGATGATGATGTTGATAATGACGATGATGATGTGATGATGATAATGGTAATAACGATGATGATAGTGATACTATAAAATTATTGTAAAAAATTTTGATGGTGATCTTTATAATGAAAAAAAAAAAACGAAATCATTATTTGCATTAATTTCGAAAGATAAATTACAATACGAAAATTTCATATAATTTGATTTAGTTTTTTTTTTCTTTCCAAAAAACAAATTAAATATCTATTTGTTATCTTAATATTTTGCTTATCATTAAAATGATATCAACATAATGGAATGGCAATTAAATACAATGAATTAATTAATGAATCGAAATTTGTTAATATATTCTGACTTAATTTAACACAAATAATAAATGAAAAGAAATTGATTCATTCGAAAACTGATTTTTTTTTTTTAAGAATTTGTAGCTAAATTTTAAATTGATTTATTTTTCAACCATTGTCGAATTTTCGAACATTGTATCGAAATGAAAAAAAAAAAAAAACAAAAGAGGGACAATTTTCAAGTCTTCATTTTTCGTGTTTTCTTTGAGAAAAAAAAAAAGTTTTCTTTTAAATTTATTGTTTCCTAAAAAAAAAAAAAAAACAAAAAAAAGAAAAAAAAATAGAATAACTTCTTCTCTTTTCTTTTTCACTTTCTTTTCAATATCATTGGAAAAAGTCGGCAAAAAAAAAAATGTTTTTCGATTTTTTCATGCTTTTTTTGAAAAAAAAATTTTTTTCTAAAATTTCTCATTTGATAGAAAGTAAAAGTTCGATTTTTTATTTCATTTTTTTACTATTATATAGAAAAAAAACAAAATTAAATTTACTACTTAAAAAAGGGCAACGAAAATTTTTACTTAAATATATGAAATAAAAATGATAAAATGATTATTTTGTATGTGATTTACTTATTGAATAGTAATAAAATTACGGATAGAAAGGGAAAGGAAAATAAGATTTCTTTTCTAGCACTAAGAAATAATTGTATTTAGTCATGCATTTAACCTTAAAATTCGATTTTCTTTTTAGCAGAATAAGGATTGTACTAAATGAATGAATGTATATATATGTAAAAGTGGTCGTTGTCGTTGTCGTTTGTCATTTTCATCATTGTCATTGTCATCATTATCGTAGATGTCACCAAGCATCGTTTCTAAGCATTTATAATTATATTGTTCAAATAATTATTCATTTGTTCAGTAATCAATAATAAGTGATCAGTAATCGATAATCAGTAATCATTTATTATTGCTATGTATAATTCAAAATCAAAAAATTTCAACAAAATATATTAAATAATATTATTTGGTAATCGTTCATTTCAAATTTTACTAACAATAGAACTTGTAAAAAATGAAAAAAAATTTTTTTCAATTATATGAGTATTTCAATTCGTGTTATTTCGTTGTTTGTTTAGAAATTTCTCAAAATTTTCATTCCATAGTTTTGTTATAAAAGAAAATATTCATTACTGAATTAACAATTACATCGATATATGAATGAATCATAAATAGTTAAATAATCTTTGATTCGTTTCATTTTATTTTAAAATAACTTAAACAAAAAAAAAAAAAAAAGAAAAAAAGAGAAAAGCTCAAATTTCATCGATTTATTCATTATTTTCTTCCAATCTCTCGGTCTCTCTCATTTTTCACATGCTATTTTATTTGAATTATTTGAAAATTGTTAATTTAAGTAAACAATGATGCAATTTTTCAAAGTGTGCTAAGATGACAAAACAAACTTTCCATTTTGCTTAATCATTTTATTTATAAGCATTTGAAAAATGATCGTAAAAAAAAGTTATCATCGTTATGATGATTTCAACAAATTTGCAGCTTCTTTTCGCATTTTTTTTTTCTTCAATTTTACGCTAATTAAAATTTCAATAATGCTATATTTAGAATAATTGTTGGAATGGTTGTAAATTGGAAAGAGAAGAAATTTGTAAAAGTTAATTAAGAAAAATTTTATAAATTATTGATAATTTTTGATTTGTAAAAGAAAAAATGCAAATTAAATTGATAACTTATTTACCATTATCATGTATA